TTTCAAAAGAAATAAAAAGGAATTATTTTAAAAATTGTTTTCGGATTTAATTTTTTTTTAAAAACCAATGACTCCCGTCTCTCATTAGGTATATATATAGAAAGTAAATTTTTTTAAAGATTAAAATAATTTATATTTTGCTTTGACCTTCTTAATTAAATTCTTATAATTGGTATAATTATATTGGCTTTTATAAGATCCGAATAAATCAAACATATTAAGAAAACTGATATCATCATCAAAAATTCTGTTGTTCCAACTAAATTTTTCTTTTGATATATAAAATCAACAAAAATATTTGTCTTTCAAATAGGTTTTAATTGGTTCATAATTTCTATATTTCACTGAATTCATATTTGGCATAATTTCTATACTTAACAGAACTTTAATTTAACTGGAATTTTTATTAAACAAAATTTTTATTTAAACTAATTTTCATTTAGCAGAATTTTAATAATTTTTAAGCCAAATAATAAGAATAATTTTTCATTTGGTCAAATCTTTATTTCAACTAATTTATTCACTTTAGAAATAGTCTCCCTCCAAAAAGAGATAGAAAAAAATAATTGAAATTTTTATTACATTATCTTCTCGAAAATATCTTTCGACTAAAAAAGTAAAAATCCTTGAAAACAGGTTCGTTTCCACGATAAGTGAGAGATAGGGTGATTTCAACTTAAACATTTGATATGTCGTATTATATAGAGATCACGAGAGATTTCGTGGCACGATAAAAAAAAAGAAGGTTGTTAAGCATATAACCGTACAGTGAAGTTACGACCTGCATACCTTCAGAAAAAGTTTGGTCATGTCATCCATAAAGGATATACATATATATATATGTGTTTTATAGTCGAGTCCAACTCTGTCCAAATAACTATCGCCCTATTCACACACAACAGGTGGTTACGCCCCCTTTTCATTTATGTACTTAAAGATTAGAATAAAAGAGAATCCGCACCCCTACTTTTTTATAATACTTTCTGAAAATATAGGTATTCAAAATTTCTTAAACCTATCACATAGAATTAACAAATTTAATTTTCAATGTTAATTGGATAAAATAGAAATTCCGTGAAGTGAAATTTCTATAAAATAAAAATACGAACAAATTAATTTTAGGAATTATTGATGAGTTTAGAAATTCTGACCCTGTAAAAATTCTCATTTTCATACATCTGTGTCGCAGAAGTATATTTCTATATTTGAGTCACCCTTCAGAAGCTTATATTTTTCTGGCGAGGAAAGTTTCTTTTCTTTTTTTTTTTTTTTTGTGCCTATTTACCCCACACTCACTTAACATCCCTTGCTGAGTCTAGTTTTCTATATACACATGAGCCTAGCCAAACCTGAGAAAGCACCCTTCTTGCTGTTGCAATGTGTGGGTCGCGACGTGCCACGTCAACACAAATGGGGAGGTATACGCATCAACGTGCGAACATACACTTTTTCAGTGCGAGACATCCCTCCTCGAGGGGTCGTTGATCCCCCAAGGACATCGACCTTGCGTCTGCGGCAGCCAACCGTTCGCGTTCGAACGGTTCTGGGTTCCCGGATTCCTCGATTACCAATTGCTCCTCCTTCTCCTTTTCTTGACTCCTTTTTTTTTCTCTATCCTTTCCTTCCTTGTTTCTTCATATTACTTTTTCCACAACTATTATTCATTTGTATATTTATAAATATGACGAGGAATTAATTACTACATTAGTAATTAAAACTTTCGACTCTATTTTGCGATATGTTAATGATTTTTTAGGGTCCTTGATTTAATAATATTAGATGTAGTATTTTCTGTAAGGTACATAATTTTTACAACTAAGGAATATAAGATAGTTCGACAAAATTTTGACCTATTTCAGAACCAAGAATCAAACAATACTTTTCTGAATCATTTTGAATTTGAATCTGACCTCAGAATTAACCCAGTGCGTCAGGTTTTCGAACTTTTAGGTTAGAATATCACGAAAACCTGACGTGCTGGGTTAATTCTGAGGTCAGAATCGGATTAAAAATGCTTCGGAAAAGTAGGTATAGTCTGATTCTGAAATAGGCCAAAATTTTGACGGCCTATCTTATTCCTTAGTTGTAAAAATTATGTACCTTACAGAAAATAATAAATTATTGAAGAGAACCCCAAACCCTAAAAAAACACTATAGATTCTATTCAACAATTACTAATTAATTCAATCATTACTTTACTCTCTAAATTTGAATTAGTTAGTTTACTAATGCAAATTAGTAAAGAGATTTTCACTAATTTTTAGTAGTAAAATACACTGAAAAAAGGATTTGGTTTTGACAACAAAACGTTTGATTGGTATTTAAACAACCAAAATTTTTTTGTTGTCTCAACAAAATTTAGATAGTCTTAAATACCAACCAAATGTTTTGTTGTCAAAATCAAACTCTTATTTCAGTGTATTAATATTTGATTTAGTAATATTTTCTTAAAATTTTAGTGAATTTTTCACTAATTCAAATTTAGAGAAATAAAAGGAACTACCAAAAAATGTGAAAAAAAACTTAAATTCTCTACGAATTTAACTCTTAATTTTAAACAGAAACTTAATTTTAAGTCAATTATATCGGAGGAGCAATTTTGTGTCAACACGCTTTTTAAGGGTCACTAGTCCAAAACTCGTGGACAGAATTTCTGTGTAATATTATAAAGTTGAAAGTAGTCCGCGGGTGGTAGTGTGCGATTGCAGTGAGTTTAAAATTAAATTTCAGTTTAGAATCTCGCGTGTCGAGTTAGACAATGGGGTTAATAGTCAGTGAGAAATCAGAATGGAAACATGAATAGCGAGGGCAATATCATATATATATGATGATGAAAGAACGGATATATAATCTGAATATGAGGATGACTGAATAAAATGAAAATGGAGGAATGTTTTACTTTTTTGTATAAATAGGGGATCTTAGTTTCTATATCGACGCTTGAAATCGACGAAAAATATGAAAAATTCATGCGTATGCAAGTCGACCCGTATGCCCTCTTCCACCTTTCCTTTCCTCTTTTTCCCCTCGAACTTCCTATCGTCGCAACCCCGCTTCCCGGCACTGTAGTGTATGTATAAATAAGTATATACACATTTACACGCACAATGACACTTTGTCGTCGCAAACGATAACAAAAATTGAACAAATATTTCAATTTGTATAAATATGTAAATGAATAGAGATCACTATAAGGACACTTTCCATTAGAGAAGAATTTCCCACCTATACATATTATTTATTATGTACTTTGTATAATTCGATTTACTACTTTTCTTTTCTATAGGCGAGAGAGCTAACATTTTCAATATAGTATATATGGAGATGACGTGTAGCAAACACGTGAAAAGCTATTATATATGTAAGCTTATAGAATTTGTCGATAAAACTATATACTTTTGCAAGAAGAAGAAAGACAAAATTTAAGCTCAACAAACATTATTCGAATTGAATATACTTTTAAATGTTGTTTCTTAAATAAAAATTTCAAATGCATAAATAAGCTCTAAAATTAATGACAGAAAATTTTAATTCAAATCAATTTTTTTCATGGCACAATTCTCTTGACTCATTGCCAGAAAGAAAAAGAATTTACATTTCTTCTCAATGAAATCCTTATATGCACGTTTGCTAGAAAAAAAGGTAGTTGTTGTAACGGTTAAGGTGTGTGTATATAACCCCGACCACGCGTCTAGATCTGAAGCTCGCTTTGCAGTCCAGAAATGGGCATATAATTAAATTATATTATCAAGACCCGCATATCGCTTGAACCTTGGTACTTGCGGGGAGGAAAAGGCAACTTCGATATATATATATATACGTGCAGCTTTTATTCAATTGAGTGTATATACTTTATATCTGATCATAATGCTATAATAGTGAAAATTGCAAATGACTTTCTCACAATTTCTATACACACAATATCATAAAATGATAAATAGATAAGATGATTTATTGATTTCATATTCATTTCTCGCGTTTATAGAGGATTTCTTTATATATTTATCGAGGATTGTTGATTAAAAAAAAAAAAAAAAAATTTGACCTGAAAAATATACAGTACATATAAGAAAAGGGTATATTGCAGGTTCTTTGGAGGCTCGATGAAGTAAGCCTCCAAAGGAAGGAACGACTTTGTCGTTGACCTACTAAAAGCCATCTTTTTCTCGATTATATTCCCCGCGGTGCCCCTAACTCCAAACTTTAATATATATATATATACACACACAACTTGCCGCAAGGGCCGCGCGCGGCTTCTACAAAAGGATTCAGTTTGAGGGCTAAATAATTATACAATATACCAAAAAACTAACTTCAGCCCCCTATAAAAAGGACGACAAATAAAACTATATATGAATTTAACAAAAGAGTCAAAGAAACCTTTTAGCATACAAATTCCGTAAATTTCTTAAATAGACATAATAGATAAAAATAAATAACAAATAAATACATAGTAAATATTCTAATATAATAAGTGAAAAAAAAGAAAATGGTTTTCAAATCATCTAATTTTTATTTAACAGAATTTTTCTAATTTTGAGGTTATGGTAGCAGATTTTAACCTCAAACTTAACGCTCTCTTGACCTTGAATTATAAGGGGTTATGTTTACCTCTTGACTCTTATCACCTATTTTTAAGGTTATGTTTTCATTCAACATAACCTCAAAATTAAATCATTTTCTGAGTCAAAAGACAGAACATAACGTCAAAATTTAAGGTGAAATTTTCAGTTTTCACATTAAGAGATCGCTGTGTTTAAAGTTAAAATCAGTAAACATAACCTCAAAAAAAGCCGGCATTATGGCATTAAATTAGCCCTAAATTCCCTGGGTAGTTTTACTTCTATCGCGGAGATTGTGGTTATAACCACCTTTCAATGGACCTCAAATTTCCACACTGGTATTTCCTATTCATAAAATTCGCATATAATGATTCAATGTAAATTCCAAATTCCAGAGATTGCTTTTTCACTTGAATTGAGTTAGCTTATAACTATATATAAATGCGCCAATATTGCTTTACGTTTTAGTCATCGTCAGTTTAACACGTTTAACGTCAAAAAAGAGACGTATACTGCGTCGTGTTCTTTCAAAATTTTTAATGTTTTAAATTAAATTTTTTTTTTTGGTAAGTTTAAATATATAGAATATAATTTAGTTGATTTCGTAGACGACAATCAACGCATTTTTGCATAATTTGAATTTAATATCTTATAAAAACAAATATTACATTGCTTTAATTAAATATTACGAAAATATTGATAAATTCTTATTTATAAACTCGCGACTTTATAATCTAAAAAATTCGTTTCAATTGTCAACATTGTTTTCTTAAAACTGCTAATTACTCAAATTGGTATTTGTTTCAAGGTGTGAATTTATCTTGTCAATTTTCAAGATCAAAAAGCAACGGATACGGAACTTTTTCCTTTATTGATTCACACAGTGACTTCATATATTGTTTGGAATCAACATTTCAGCACGAGAGTCATATTTTTAAAAAGTGCAATTTCTCTTCTATATTTAATACAAAATTAATTCTTTTAATAAAAAAAAATTATCCCTTTAATTCTCATTAAAAGATAATAATTTATTAAATAAAATGTCATATCGAATGCAAGGCCTGACTTTAAGTGGACTTAAGAAGCATCCATCTGTAAGTAAATTATCCTATTGCTTCTTCAATTTTTTCGTTTCTAAAATTTACTTCACATTTTATTTTTTGTAAAGAAAATAAAGAGAATAAAAAATCATATAAAATGAAAAGTTATATAATTTTTTAAGTATTTTTTAAAAATTGAATCAACTTACCAAAGTCAAAGTTAAAAAATTTGTTTTTCTACTAAAATTTTTCAAAAATGGATCTTTCAAAAATTATGTAATATTTCCTGACGTCATTATCAAAAAAAAAAAAAAAACATAATTACAATGAAGGAAATATTTCATTTTCAAACTTTGACAAAGATTTAAACTTATCAATCCTTTTTTTTATCGTTAAAAAGATAACATATATATTAAATATCAAGTACAAACAATTAATATAAGAATGAAATGACGCACACATAATTATTATTAAATATATGGATGTATTATAAAAAAATTAATTAATTTATGTTTTTAATTTATTCATTACAGTTAATACCCCTTTTCGTAGCATTGGGTTTTGGATGTTCTGTCGCTGTTTTTTGCACTATAAGAGCTGCTTATACAAATCCTGACATTTCGTGGTGTAATAAAAAAAATCCAGAACCGTGGAACGAATACAGTGATAAGGAATATAAAAAGGTATATACATATATATATACCTATATAGAAATCTTATCATTGTTTCTTGTTGATTTTTACTATTAACATTTTCCTTGAATTTTACTGTTTCAGTTAATTGACATAAAGAAGAGTAATTTTAACGCACGTAACTCATCTATTTGGGATATAGCAAGAAGTTAAAAAAAATAAAATGAAACGAAGAAAATTCTACAAATTATTTAAGTTATTTAATTAAATTGATTTTATTTTTTTTATTATATTTAAAAAATTAAAAGTAGTTGAAATTGTATATAAGGTGAAGAAGATAAATAAAAAAATAAATAAATAAATTATTAAAAAAGAAAATAAAATACAATTTTAATTGTTAAAATATTTAAAAAAAATTTTTCTATATTATTATTAAAATAATGTTATTGGTTAATTTTAAAACTCCCGCTGAAATGTTTAAGCCAGGTATATGATCTGATATGTGAAAGTTCTAGCAAATGACAATTCGGACAACTAAAAGTTCGGTCAAATGGAGTTTCGGATAAATAAAAATTCTCTTATTTAAAAATTCAGCAAAATAGCGAATTTGTAATTGTGAAATTCAGTTAAATGACAATTCTGTTAAATAAAAATTAGGTCAAATAGAAATTTTCTTCAATACAAATTTTGTTAAATAAAAATTATTTTAAATGGGTATTCAGTTAATTTTGTATAAAAAAAAATCAAACAAATAAAAATTGGACAAATTCTATCTACTAAAATTCTAACAAAATTAATTTTGAGGCATTATTCATGAGTCTCATGAAAAAAAAAATCAGTGAAATTTAGTCGTCACGAAAATTTTGTTATTACAACAGTGATATTAAGTGGTTTAACTAATAAATGAATAATTTCTATTTAAAAACCCCGCACCCCTTTTTAAAAATATATAAATAAGCATTGGCCCTTTTTAGCGCCGTTCGTTCACGGTGCAGTGACATTTGAATAGACCTTTTGTTCGTCGACCAGGTTTTCATTCTCTCCCTTTCGAAATAACATTATTCAGCTTCCTTATATCCCTCGACTTGATATTAGTCAAGCAGGTAGAAACAGGTAGACTTGACTCTTATAACTATGGAGGGTCGATTTCGATTTCAATTTTAATCCGAAAGGTACAATGCATTATTGACCATCACGCCGTAAAATTACTTTTACAGTGGTTGATTCTTCTCTAAAGAAGATTCAAACAGAAAGTTGTGTTGTCAACTAAATCCTACTAGTAAAAAAAAAATAAAAAAAAAAAATAATAAATTATCGATCGGTATAAAATTACACGATTATAAATATAGGAGGGGGAGTTATATAAGCAAGGTGCACGGATTTATGTCCTGCATGAGTGTGAGAATTTAGGAAAAATTTTTTTTAAACAGGTGGAAACTACCTGTACGTGACTATTAGGGGAAGAAACCGTTAAAGGTTTTTTTTTTTTAAAAAGGCACTTTAAAAAAAAGAGAAAGCCAACGCATTCAAGTTGAAAGGGAAGAAGCGACCACAGAAACGTATACAAGTGGTTTGTGATAACTTTCTAGTGACATTTTTATTATGCTAATTACGGTATTTGATCAATTCGACAGATAAGAAGACAATCAAATTGTATATTACGGTTTTAAAGATAATACAAATATTCAATTTTGTATATCTACAAAAAAATAAATAGTAAATTTTCATTTAACCCAATTTTCATTTAGTAAATTTTCTACTTCAGGTAATAGATAAAAATTGTATTTAATCCAATATAAAGGAATTTTCATTCAATGGAATTTTTATTTATTAGAATAATTGCTATTCTGTTTATATTTATTTTTTTATATTTGAATTTTTTTTTTATTATAATCAATATTTATTTGATAATAGTTAAGGTAAAGATTATTTAAATCGAATAATTTTTTTTTTTTTAGTGTAGTAAAATAAAAATTTTATTTTGTGATATTTTTCTTCTAAGGATTTTATAAAAATGGAACATGTGAACTGCTCGTGTATATCTCGCACTAGCCAAACAATACATATGACCTGAAATCTTATCACGAGATGTACGTAAACCTTATCGGCGTCTTGGACGATCAAGATTTCCTGAGAAAAAGTGACTTAATAATGGTAACTTTTCAAATTTTCAAAAAAAAAAAATATATTATGCATTTTTTTAAAACTCTAAATTTCAAACTGTAAATTTGAACTAATTATTTTTACACATAAAAAAATTATTTCATTCAAATATTATCAAGTAAATATTTACTTGGATAAAATAATTTTTAATTTGAATTAAATAAATTGTATTTGAACTAATAATTTATGTATTTGTAACAAATACCATCGCAAATAATAATTATTTAAAAATATTTATTTGATAATAGTCAAGTAACCAAATATTAAATAATTTTTTTTCCAGTGTATTTTTTGTAGGAAATACTCCATACGTCTTTCTATTGTCTAATCATTCAATAATTGGAAAATAAGAGGGATTCGATTTTTAAAAAAAGTATAATATATTAAGGGTTCGTCAAATTTGAAGAAAGGATTGTAATAGAGTGAGCGCGATATAGTCTGACGTAACGCGCGCGGTGTGGGAGCGGCACATTGTGAGGTCAACAGCCTCGTCCCTGACGACCATTGTTCACCAACAACCCCGTAGATCGAAAAACTGAAAGGAGAAGAATACATTCTCGCGCTTAACACTAAAATCTAAACTTGACTCCAGTCTCTCTCTCTCTGTCTCTCTTTCAGTGACGTACACAAGGGTAGCTTTCAGTGCCACTCACAGGTGTTCACATCCCTCAAAAATCCTTTCTGATTTTTTTTTCTCTTACAAACAAAAATTTACTTTAGATAAAAATAATGAAACGAATACAAAATGAAAATAAAAAGATTAAGAAAAGGACATTGAATTTTTTCCATGTAAGCGAAGTTCAGGTATATAGATATTGAAAAAGGAAGGGTGCGAAAGGAGAGAAATTGTTTGCAGCCAACATTGGAACCGGTTTTGGGGTGGATCAACAAGTCGAGTTCTCTCTGTTCTGAAAATTTTAACTTCAAACATGTATTTTAAAATATTATTTTCTATACTATTTGGTTAAATTTTAAAAAAAAAGGATTATATTAAAAATTAAATTTTGACGTTAAATACAAAATTTTCGAATAACAAAGGGTGAGTTAATTGTGATTGAAGCTGCATACATGAGTATTTATATTGTTAATTCTCGGTATTGTTGAAGATGAATAGATGATGGGATGCGTATTATCAAAGAGAAATAAATGAAGTATAAGCAATGAAAAGGGAAGAGATACAAAAGAGAGAAAGATTCGTAAAGGAGTTAACTCCGAATTTCAAGTTACGAAATTCTTTGACTCCAGAAACCCGCTCAAGGATTGAAGTCGCTCGTAGTTACCGTTACTTCCGGCTACCCACCTACCTACCTATCTACCTACCTACCTACCTACCTACCTACCTACTTTCAACCTCGAACTGCATGCTGTTCACAAATCGCGACTTTCTCGATACAAACGATCCCTAAAATTCTAATACAATACAAAAGGGTTTCAAAAAAAAGTCACAAAAATAAAAACTACTAAAACAAATAATAAAAATGCAATTACTAAAGAATAACATTTCCCTTATTTTTTCTGATTGATTTTTGTTATTAAAAACATAAAACAAAAATTGAATTTTCTCTAAATATTGAAAACAAATTCATTATAAAGAACTTTCTAAAAAGAAGAATTAATATCAAAATTCAGATCTGAATTCAACGACCCCGAATAAAGCAATCACGTGACGGGAGGGAAGAATTTGAACCAAGTTGAGCTGAGTCAAGGCGTGGAAAGGACCAAGATAATTTTTTTTTTTTTCAGCATTCCAATTCAACTGGCAACAATTCTCAACAGCGCAAATGTTTGCATAAAATTTTTCCTATCAATTATAATAAATAAATATTTAAAAGAGGGATTTTAAACATTTTTTTTTCATAATAAAAAAAAAAATCTAAAATTTTAAATAGCTGTTAATTAAAATTTGTAAATTATTTTTTATTTTTCCATACGGAAATTGATTCCAAAATTGTCTATAAATAAAGGTTAAATTACAACAGCCTTTTTCCTCATTAAAATTGTGAATAAATTTTAATTCACCCCCCCCTTTTATAATAACAACCGGAGATAATTAGATTTCTGATTTTTTCAACAACACCTGTGTGTGCGCGCTTGATAATACATCGAGATATATACGCAAGGATTCACTTTTAAATCGTACCACAATATTCACTGACCGCAAAGGGGAGAATAATGAGGGCGAAAGGTATTATTCATGTAGACTCTATAGGGTTAGGGTGCATCCTTTTTTAATGAAAGGAATTATTTGAAGAAAAAAATAACGAAAGAGAGAGAATAGGAACGAGAGTGACAGGAAATGTGTTAGCAGAGAGAGAGTCGCAGCCCCTTCCATCCCGGATGTCATGATTTCCGACTTTTATCCCTTTGGCCTCGAAATTTCCCCATATACCCTCCAAGCTATTTAAAAATTTTACATTACATTTTAAATTTCAACACATTTACTAATACAACAAAAAAAAAAAAAGTGGAAGATAAAATTAAATTTTAAACTTTTTTTATCAAAAAATATATTTATAACGATTTATTTCGTTTATTTAATTTAAAAATCAAATAATTTCATTAATTAATTTAAAAAAAAATTATAAAAAAAAAATAACAGAAAAGTTAAATGCTTTTTTTTACCCCTTTGTGTATAAAAATGAATAATATTCTTCTCTTTAGAATTCCTTTTTTCTAAGTACACTTTCAATACATATAATTATATTTGAAAAATAAAATATGGCACATTTTTCATGTCGACTTTTCACCTTTTTAAAAAATAATTTCCTTGAAAAATATTCAAAAGGGTCACACAATTTTGAATGCCGAATAAGGAAACGCGAAGATAAAAAAAAAAGGGCTCATGAATTTCAAAGCAACATTGAAATAAGTGTCTAATATAAAGATCCTCTGTATTATCCTTTAGAAAACTATATATATCTACAAATTCAAAGCACAGTACCTTTTATCAAACGAGGCTCCACAGAATAAGTCATGCACTGTTGTCGACTTCCCCAATGTCACTTATTATTATCATCAATTCACCATCATGTCAAGAATAATTGTTAACGGATAACGGACGAAGAAGAAAAAAATTCCAACGTATCTCCGATGTCTCCTTTTTTTTATATCTGTAACATTTTAAAAGAGACAATAAAAATTTTAATTATACAATTTTAGAAATTAACCTTCAATTTTTCACTTTATATCTCGCTTTTAATTTTTTTTTCCAATTTACATATCTATTTGTCGTATTATTATTTTTTTTTTTTTTTGAAGTGGCTCACCAATAACAACTTGAAAAATTAATGGTTATGTACCAAAATGCATACCTTAAACACTATTAAACATTGTCAAGTATCGTATAAAAACACTGTTTCTGCATTTTCACTTTTCTTAATAAAAACTTTTCTTAAATATACTTTAAGAGATTGTTGACATTTAACTAAACTATAATTTTTCTTCATTTTAATTTTTGCAAATTCTGCATCACTCCTCACTTTCTTTACTGAAGCCCTTTAAAAAGCCGGAATTTATTTTAACTATACTATGGCGCCATCTGTCGTTACATTTCAGAGTGCAATTTATTTTTTCCCCTCTTATTTTCAAGTATTGTTTAACAATAAATATAGTATAATAAAAATCATCATTTAAAAATATTAATTATTATTAAATAAAAAGATTTAAAAATTAAATTAGTTTATTTTAAAAAATTAATCTCTGATAAATATATCTCTGTCGGTAACTAGTCAACGATACAAACGTTCCTAGCGGAGAATTCAGAAACTAAAACAAGCAGTTTTTAATTTATTTTATACATAAAAAAAAAGCGAATAAAAGTTAATTAACATATAAAGAAAATTATTCAATATCAAAAAATAGTTATTCTTTCTAACGTTGAAAAATTCAAACAATTGATAACAAATAAAATCACTTGACAATTTTATCACTCGGATATGGCCAGTAACAAACCTCCAATCTACTTTTAGTTTGTTGTGTTTGTATAAATTCAAACATTCAAAGCGGAAATACTTATTAAACAAATATTTTGCAGAATGTGCATTTAAACGTAGCAAAAAAGACATTGTTAGTTTGGCACGAATGTTTATAAAAAATTGTGATATTATTCTTACCATAACAATCAATTTTGCTTCAAGTGTTGTAAAGTAACAAACAAGTGTTATGAGTTACGTGAAAAATTAACATTTAAACTTTTTTTTTTTTGATAAAGTTTATATCGTTAAAAATATGGAGGGCTTAAAAATATTTTCCAATCTACTTTTAATTTTCACAATACATTGCTTAATTTCACATTGTGTTAATACAACAACAATAAATGATGTTAGTGTTTCTAAAAACAACAATTTTGAAGAATTGTCAGAAGTTGGATGGGTTTTTCATAACGAATCTTCATTGAAAAGATCAAGACGCAATGTTATTCAACCAAGTAATACAAATAATAAACAAGAAAAAAATCATAACCTATTTGAAGAACCTTTATGCCGGGGTGATCTCCGACGACTTTGTGGCAATATTGATTCACATAATGATGATATGCAACTATGGGAATGTATACAGTCATTGAAGGTTTGTTTTTATTTATTATTTATCTCGCTTTTTATTTACCTATTCATATTAGATAATTAAAAAAATATATATATATTTTGAACCTAACCTAAAAACTCAATTTCAAAATAATAATCTTAATTAAAATTAAATTTTCAGCCAAATGAAGTTGCAACAATTGATTCAAAATGTCAGCATTTAATTTTTAAACATATGATGAACATTTCTGACAATGAAAATATTAAAAAACAAGCGAAACAAATTTGTGGCGATGAATTGGATAATTTAAATTGTCCCTTAAATGTTCCTGGTTCTTTTTTATCATGTTTAATTGAGAAAAGAGAGCAAATAAGAGAATTTCATTGTTTAGATTATATTCAACGATGGGAATGGTTGGCATTTAGTGATTTTCGAATAATCGCACCATTTGTATCAGATTGTCAACGTGATTTAAATAAATTTAAATGTGGCACAATACAATCAAGCAAGGATATTGCTCAGGGTGAAATACTTGCATGTTTACAACAACACGCTGATAAATTAGAAAATTTATGTCGAAAGAGAGTGTTTTTAATTTCTGAAATACAATCGGGAAATATTAATTTAGATCGACAATTACATATAGCGTGTGTTAGGGAGCAAATGCAATTATGCCCACAAGTACGACCAGGTAGTGGACAAGTGATAAAATGTTTAATGCAACATAAAATGCATAGAACAATGTCAAAAGCATGTCAAGAACAATTGATAAGACGTGAACAGCTCATGGTTTTAGATTATAAAGTGAGCAAGGGTTTGGTAAAAGCATGTCGCGATGATATTAAACAAAATCATTGTCGACGTTCAGTTTCAAATGATAGGGAAATTAAACTCGCTCAAATTTTACTCTGTTTGGAATCAGCTGAAAAGAATGGCAGTAAAATTTCTCAAGATTGTAAAGCCGAAATATTTGATCATCGAAAAATGTTAATGGATGATTATCGTTTATCACCGGAAATTGTTGATAGTTGCGCAAAAGATATATCGACATTTTGTCTTGGTTTGGAAGTTGGCGGTAAAACAATTCATTGTTTAATGGATAATGCACGTTTCAAGAATAATCGATTGCGAATAACGCAAGAATGTCAGAGAGCGGTAATATGCAATATATTAATATTATATTAGAGTACACAAAAATACAGATTTTCATCTTTTTTTTATAAATAATTCAATTTAAATATTTTTTTTTTGTGAGGGAAATTTTTTTTTCAATGACAGAAAATTGAAAAATTTATTCCTGTGGCAACTTGTTTTATTTTTGATAAATAAATTTGATATTTTAGTTAGAGACACTTGTGAAAGAAGCAGATGTTGCTGAGGATTGGAGAATTGATCCAGTTTTAAGAGAAGCATGTCAACCAGTTGTCAACATGGCTTGCGGAAATAATGTAAGAATGAAAATCACCAATTTATATATTTAGAAAAATTAGTATAAGGTGTATTATTATTATACCTTATAAAATTTGGTTTAATAGAAATTCGATCATAAATGTTATTTATATCAGAAATAAATAAAACATTTTTTTAGATCCAAGGTGGTAACGCGAGGGTAATATCGTGTCTAATGGAAAATTTGGGTACCGGTAGAATGACAGAGCCGTGTGAGGCAGCTCTTATTCAAATTCAATATTTTGTTGCAAGAGATTATAAACTTGATCCTCAATTATATCGAGCTTGCAGAGCAGACGCTATTTATTTCTGTCATGCTAAGAGTGCATGGTCCAGTGATGGAATCGACATGGATCCCGAGAGAGGTCCTTTGGTTTTACCTTGTTTACATCGTTATGCTAATCATCCACAAAAAAATATGACAGTAGGTGGCAAAGATTCGATTATAATATTATTAATTAAATAATATAATATTTGTTTATTAATAAAAAAATTCTTGTTTTATTTTAAGTTGAAGAGAAGATGTTCTGAAGAAATTAAAAGAGTAATGCGGCAGAGAGCAATGAATGTTGATTTATTACCAGAAATTGAAGATGCTTGCCTAAAAGATCTTGCAGTTATTTGCTACGATAAAACGGGAAGGGGCGAAGAGATTTTGTGCCTTCAAGATAATTTCGAAAAGTATGATTAATAATAATGTTACATTCATAAATCGTTACTTTAGTCACTTTTTCTGTCACTTAATTACTTTTATTTTAAAAATTAGTCATCTTGCTTTTAAACGATAACAATGAATATTTTAATTTGAAAAATTGCAAAAAAAAAAAAAAATTAATAAAATTTATTTTTGACAGTCTTAAGAGCCAAAAATGCAAGGACGTAGTTGGAAATTTTACGGAAGAACAGGCGGAACAAGTTGAACTTAATCCACTGATTACAAATGCTTGTTCTCGAATTATAGAACATTATTGTCAGGTAAGTCTAATAATAGATAATTAATAATTTTTCATCTCTATTTTTTTAAACATTATTGTGAATCTAAATGTGAATATTTATATTTAAAGGATATTTTTAAACGTGGCAAAGATGAAGGTGATATGATGGAGTGTCTAATAGAACACAAAAATGATTTAGAAACAACAGATTATAAGTGCAAAGCAGCTGTTGAACATTTTCAATTAATCTCTCTCAAAAATTATCATTTTACTTTCAAATTTAAGGAAGCCTGTAGATCTTTTGTTCTCAGATATTGTCAAAAGTAAGTATTTTTAAAAATACAAATTATATTTTTCTACAATTTTCTTTTCTTAATTAATAAAGTCTGATTTTTTTTTTTTTTTTTTAATTGAGAATTTGAAATTATTTTCTAAGAGAACATTTTTGAGGGACATATTACAATTGATTTTAGGTCGAAAACAAGTGCAGATGTGATTGAATGTTTGAGTTCAATTGTTCAAGAAGACGTAATGAAGGAGAATCAAGCGCGAATTAAAAAAAATTGTCGACAACAGTTGAAAGCACAATTATATCAACAAAGGGAAAATATTCAATTTGATCCGGTTTTGCAAAAATTTTGTGAGACTGATATTAAAAACTTATGCCTCAACATTATACCTGGAAATTCTCGGGTATAAACAAATTGAATTTAAATTAAATTAACATTATAGTGAAATATAATTTTTTTTTATTATAATATAATTTTTTTCTAGATTCTAGAATGTTTGGCAACGCATAAATCGCAATTATCAATGGAATGCCGTAAACAATTGTTTAAAGTAAGAAAACTGGAGTTTCAAGATAGTTCCATTGATTTTGCTTTATTGAATAACTGTCATTCAATGGTAGCACAATTTTGTCACAAAGGAGATCGAACGCAAATATTAGATTGTTTAAAAAAATATAAGGACGAATCGACATTTGATGAAAAATGCAAAAACTTTGTTATTCAAAGAATGATTGAACAGAATACAGATTATCGATTCAATACGGCTTTACAAAGTTCGTGCTCGTCGGATATAAATAAACATTGCAAAGAGGTAAGAATGATAGAAATTTTTTTTTTTTTACTTTCGTTAAAAACAAAGAACACGAATTTTAGAGCTACAATGATTTGTTTTTAAGAAATTTTGATTTGAAATCAATTTTGTTTTTTATTTTTAAAAATTCTTTTTTAGGTTTTGAAAAATGAGCCTATGGACAGAGAGCTCGAAGGAAAAGTTATAATGTGTCTAAAAATTAAATTTAGAGAATCAAAATTAAGCATGAAATGCGAACAACAAATGACAAATGTTCTACGAGAAGCTGCTTTGAATTATCATTTAAATCCTTTACTGGCTACTTTATGTGCCAATGAAGTAAGTAATCAATTTCACAAAAATTATAAAAACACATTTTCTAAAGTAGTTATTGTTTCTAAAAGAAATATAACTATTTTTGAAATAAAAGCTGATTTAAATTTTAAATTTCAATGTAATGTAATTATTAAATAATTTAATAATGTAATTTCTAATATTTATTTTTAGATTGACACAATTTGTGGATCAGATGAAAATGAGCCAGGGGCAGTTGAAGAATGTTTAAAGAAGGAATTCAATGCAGATAATAAATTAATGAGAGAAGAGTGTCGAATGCAAGTTGCTGATCTTATTGAAGAAGCAAGAGCTGATATTCATGTAGATCCTCTTTTGCAAACTGCGTGTGCAGTTGATGTCACAAAATATTGCAGTGATGTGCCACAGGGTGCAGGAAGACGTGAGTTTTTCATTTCTAATTAATCGCTTAAAAAACTTTTACATTTTTTTCAAAAATAATTTAAATATTTTTTTTTTAGATATAACCTGCCTGCAAAATGTTTTACAAGATTCAAAAAAATCTTTGCAACCTGATTGCTTTAAAATGCTAACAATGAGAATTGAAATGTTCAGAAATGCTGCATTGGTAAATATTTTTATTTATTAATTAATTCTTGTGTCAATCGTGAATTAATAAATTTAATAATTCTAATTTAATATAATTGTAATATTTTCAGGTAATAGCACCGAATTCAATTGAAGAATTATACGATACGGTAAATCGTTCACCAGCTCGAAGGTATTTTATGATTGTTGCACTGTCAATGATTGGAATGATATTTGTCAGTGGTCTATTTTGTGGAAGATTTACACGAAAATCAATGATGATATTGAAAAATAAGTGATGAAAAATTACAAAGGCTCACACCTTTCATAAAGAAACTGATGTATAGAATTTTACAGCTAATTTGCTGTTTTAAATTAAAACAAAAATAAGGAAATAAATAGGGAAATACGAAATTTACAAAAAAAAAAAAAATATTGGTTATAAATAATTTTACTAACGATGAAGTAAAATTGCGAATTTATATATATTTAATAAGAAAAATAATTTACGCATAATTAAATCGTCCGGATATCATTGCACAAATTTCATGAGAAATTTCACAATTTTATGAACGTCATGTATTTGTAATTATTTAAAAAAAAAAATTTAATTTCTGTAAATTCTATAGAAAGTCCATTTTTTCGAGAGTAAGATTCTTTTTTTTTTCTAAGAATTAGTGATATTGATATAGTGCAAGTTTGACAATGCGAAAACGATTGTGAATTATCGAAACGCGAATGGTATAAAGATATAAAATTTGTTTTTTAACTTTTTATGTATTAAATATGTGAAATGTGATGATGATATGTAAAAATGTATATTGTCAATAATAGAAGATAGAATTAACGATTGTTTTTTCACGATAATGAAATACCAAAGTGTTCTGAATAATATCGTTTTGTCGTTTGTATGTGAATATTTGAAACCTGAAGCGTTTTGATTTAAGTATATATTGTATAACTTTTTACTCAAAACCCTTTTTCTAAAAATGAATATTTTATCTGTAATATTATTTTCGTCCGTTGTATTCTTAAATTTTATTGAACATTGTATTTTAAATTTTCAATAAAAAAAATATATTAAAACTCTTTGGAGAAAATTGAATTTCAGATATAACATTATTTATATTTATAATCAAATATAGAAACCTAACCATAAATAAATTTAAAAATCTATATAAGCAAATTATCAAATATAGAAATATAAAAAAAAAAAAAAAAATTAAAAATGTAAAAAGACTCACTTTGTTCTCTCCAATACATAGTTCCTTTCCTTGTTTTCTTTCTTGAAAAAAATCTGTAACAGAATAATCAAGAAAAACTTAATTACATCAGTAATTTTATCGGAATTACGAAAAACTGTGCATTTAAATTAATTAATATTAATGAAGTTAATAAATATATATTAAATTTATTTAAAAAGTCAAAAATGTCAATTACTCATAAGATTTTCTATGCTTCTATATCGTGGTAATAAAATGACTAATTATGTACGACTTTATATATCTCTAAATTTCTTTTTATAGACATGTATAATTGCAATTATAACCCATGTATGCTTTAATTTCTAATAAAAAACCACTTTAATTAAAATCTAAATTCTAACAGGTACAACGAAATATATAGAAACATAACCTAAATTGTGGTTTCTTATCTGCAAATTTCACATGTCTTTTTTAAACAATAATGATAAGCAATGGAGGTTAAGAAATATAAATTTCAAAAAAAGAATAACTGTTTTTCTAAAAACTTGCAGTATTTCCTAATTTTTTGTTTTTAACAGGTTACAAATTTGTAGACTAATATTTCTTCAATATTTGTAACAGCACGTATTTTTATATATTTATAATATAATTGTCTATTATTTTTTATCAATAATTGACCTTGAATGAATTATTCCCTATAATCCATTGTTTAATTATAAAAGTAATATAAGAATTTAATAAAAAGTATTTTTTACTCTAATTTGTATTTATTAATTTTTATTTATTTCGCATTCCTATTAAATTGTAATTTACATATTTTTCTTCGGAACTTTTATAAAGAAAATAAAGTACTAGTTAAATTAATAACATTAACATAATTAATATACTATTATTAAATTGTATTTAACCTCAAAATTACATTTGAGAATTAAAAATATTTGTTGCAATTGTTTAATTTTTTTTTTTCCCCCTAACCTCAATGTGTACTATATCAGAAAAATGATTTTATCAAATATATAGATACTCACAATTTTACCTAATTCCCTGGAACGAAGAAAACCAACCCCGGATGGATGATAGTCTACAAGTCATTTTTCCCCGGAGATCCCTCCTCTAGATTAAAATCCAATTTTCATTTAACTGAAAATTTGGAAAATAATCATTACAAGGAGACCGAGTTTTAATGACTTATATTTCTCATATACCGGAAGTTGGATTTTCTATCAAATAGTGCTGACCACCATGTGAGGAAAAAGCTGTAATAATATATAGCCCATATATTTCATATATAATCATATTTTTTTTTAACTATATAGTGATGTTGAAATAGAAAAATATAGAAATGTTATTACGATTATGGTCTCTTCAACATCGAAAATGATAGTCCAGTTCCAACAATGAAGAACTAAAAATATTTTTTTTTGAGCAGCACAGATCATACGTCGTAAAAAGTCAACTGCTCACTGAAGCGCTTGTAAAAAACAGCCTATATTTATAGACGTTGGCAGCAAGAGCCCCCCACCAGTCTATCGCAGTGAGTGCCCGGTCCAATCAGCGCACAGCAGACAGAGCCCGAGTCAAGGCCCGAGTATAAAAGCTAGACTCCCCGCAGTGCACGCTCAATTCCATCTTGGAGGTCTTTGAGGCAACATCTGTGTCGCTTGAACAAATTTTTTTTTGCAATAATTTTTAATTTTGCATCATTGATTCCCCCACTTTTTAACAGTAGATGAGGAGAATTCAAGGACAAAAGGAAAAAGAAGACCTCTTTTCAACACCATGAAGTTTGACGGTGCAGGTATAAAATGTTATTACTATTCCTATGAAGTATATAAGTAATTTATTTAATATATATTATAAGTATATAATATATATATTAATATAATAATAGCATTGAATAATTAGATGTTGTAAAATAAAGTTTATTTATTATATTGAGATAAAAATTTTTCTACAAGAATAAGCTGAAAATTTTGTATTTGTGTTAAACATAAATGCAGATAAAAGCAATCCTAATATAATATATATTTCTTTATTAATTATCAATAGAAAAATGAGAAAAAAACGAATTAAGAAATAATCTTGTATGAAAAAGGAATTTTTATTTTATTGGTAAAAGTTAATTTTTTTATCTTGGGTTGTCATTGTGCCTCATCGTAAATGGCGTCCGAAAGTAGAAGAAACATATTTCGTTCGAGAAAATTTTGATATTAGAATCATAATGTTAGTTATATATATTTTGTGATACTTAAATTCAGTATTATATGAATAATTGAAAACGTATGAAAGTATCGTCACAGTTATAAAGAAAAATAATGAAAGGTAGAATATTATCGACAAAAAATTTTGAAATTACAACTGTTTGCGACTAGTTGCATATATTGTGACTTCACATAACTGCCGCTAGGTGGTTATCCGACATTTAAATTATTTTTAAACTGATAAAAAAAATATTAGAAAAAAAAATAAAAATTATTAGATGAGTAGTATAATAATTACTAATAAAATTGAAAATAATAAAAAAGAAGGTTACTACATTTAAAGAAATGTAGTTGAAAAAAATTCTAATTATGTTGGTAGGTATGTAATTGGTTGGTAATTTTTTCGTTCAACTTGTTATCATTGGTCACTAGAGTAGACATTGTTGAAAGAGCGGTTAAAAGTGACAGTATATTTCGTGAACAACAAGAAACATTTTATAATCTTAATACAAATTAAAAATGTATATCAATTATTGTATTTAGTGTGATACAAATTTTTCAAGTTTCCAAATAATTTTTATTGCTAAATATCATGATTTTTAATATTTTGTCAAATTTAATGATGCTTTGAAATTTAACCTGAAAATTACTGCACAACCAATTTCATATTTCTATCCTATATTTGTTTCGATATTTGTCCGCCGTATTTTAGAAATAAAATTTAAAAGCGGAATTTAATTATTATTAAAATTTGTATTATATGTTTATTTAATATTTATTTACAGGGCTAAAAGATAGTCATCTCAGGAAAAAAGGCCAAAAATTCTAATTCTTTCTGCGTTAATTCTTCTCAACTCAGGTAAATATATTTGTTTATAAAAACTAATATTTTACAGAATTTTTAAATTCTTAACATTTTTATCTAAAAACATTTAAAGATATACTACTGCAGATTTTTTTAAATTTACAATTCGAAACTGCATAAATCAGTCAAAATATTTTTTTACAGTTTACATATGTAATAATTGAAACTTCTTTTCAAATTTGATAAAATTATTTAACAACTATTTTTGAAAATAAAGTTTACTGGATATTTATTTAGACAATTTCTGTTTGTTATTTGTCTTTACAGAATTCAGACTTGGAGAAGAATTGGATGAAATTCTTATCCATATAGATGAGATGACAAACGACAACATCTACTGAATCTTCGAATAAGTGAGTATCTCTTGTCTCTTTTTGTGTAAATATTTATTAGTATAAGTTTTTTCTGCTTTTGATAAAAAAAATTATTATTTTACTTATTAATTAATCATTTACAAATTTTATAATTTGAACAATTTTGGATGATAATACAGTGAATTTATTCTTAATTAATAACAGAAATATTGTTAATTAATTAAAATTTACAAAAAACTGACATTAAGAAAATATTTAATTTTTATAAAATCAAGTTAAAAAATAATTAAATTGATTTTACTTTGAAAATCTTATTTTAAGTTTATTTGTAAAATAATTTTTTTTTCTGAATTTACAAGTGTCCAATCATGAAGGATGGGTGTTTGTTGCGGAGCTGCTCCTGGAGGAGATCTTGCATTGCTGAGTCACAGTTCAATGTAAGTTGATAAATTTTTTCCCTTAATTTTTGTATATTTTAAGATATACTTTTTTTAAATAAACAAAAAGAATAGTAAAAAATAGTTTGGAATATTTTGCAAAAATATCAATAGTTAATATATATATATAATAAAAATTTATTTCAATATTTGTAAATGATAATTAGTACAATATCAAAATATTAACATTTATAGATATTGAAATATTTAAAAATATATTAATAATTATTAGAATAATAAAATAATTGTTAATATTCAGGATTTTTAAAATTTGATTCTACACATGTAATATGTATAAAGAATTTTTTTTTCAGGCAGTTGGTCCAGTAGCAGAAAGATTTTTCCATTGAAAGAGAGGATATGCTGACATCGAATTTTTTTACACAACGCAGAAATTTTCCTTTATAGGTGAGTTTTTTTTACAATATTTTTCTGGAATATCAATAAATGGAATAAAAAAAAAAATTAAAAAATTATTGTAATATTTATAAATATTAATGTATTCAAAAATAATTGATAATATTGAGGATTTTCAATATTTTATTTTACAACTATAACATAATGAATTATTATATTTTTTTCAGGTCCAAAAGAAGGAAGTCCTTTTATAAAAAGGATATGCTGTCATCGTATCTCTTACACTACGCAGAAATCCCTTCATATAGGTGAGTTTTTTTCAATTAATTAATTAATTTAACATTAATTTACAATTAGTTGATTAGAAAATAAGAACTCAGCATTTCATAGTGTTTTGAGAAAATAATTGTTTAATTTAATTTTTTAATAAATGTTTTTTTTCAGCTCCATTCCAAATTTCCAAATATCTGAAGAGACTGGGAAGGATGTGGAAGAAGAAAAGTGGCCCCTGCAACATATTTTTTTTATAAAATTTTTTTTTCTTTTTTCTTATTTTTTTATAATATTTTTTTTTGAGCTCCCGGCCTCACGCAGAAGTGCATCCAAGAAAGAGGGATCCTCGGGAGCTGGCCCTGAAGCGCTCGAGAGTGGCAATGACGTTATTGTCCCGACGAGGGATGTTTCGCCGATCGGTGAGTCGATTTTTAATTAACCCCTTCCCTGTTTAAAATAGTTATTTTTTAAAAAAATTTAATTAAAATAAATTCATAAATTGAAAATGAATTTTTTAGATATTAATTTATAAATTGAATTGAAAATGATTTTTTTAGATATTAATTTATAAATTTTTTAATTTTCTTGCCTTTTTCAAAAAATGTAGCTATATAAAATTGATCCAAATAAAATATTTAAATTTAAAAATAAACAGGGAAGGAATTCTGACAACATGGTGACACCATTGACAAAATTTATTATTTTGTAGTATTTTTTAGGGGTAATCTAAAAAAAAGCGTGTGATATTTTTGGAAATTTAGCCCCTCAAAATTTCTAACACTCCCCACATCCTAAAGTATTACATGTTTTATGGATTACTACCTTAATACTACCTAAATTAATATTTTTGTCAATGTTTCTTTTGATTGTTTATATGTATGTTATTTTCTTTATGTTTAATATTTTTAATGTTTTGTAATTTTGTTTATTGAGTTAAAGTAATTTTCTATTAAAAAAAGTAATTTAAATTAAATTTCCAAAATTTTATTAACTTTAAATAATTTAATTAATTAATCTTGTTAAACAATTTTTTAATTTTGCAAATTAAATTTTTTATTTAATTCTTAAAAGTTAATGCATGTGGAATAAAAAATTTAAAATTTAAAATTTTTGATAATTTTTTAATAATTAACTAATTAAATGTTTTCTTTTCAGAAAAGATCGCTCAGGTGACGGTTTCGTCCCGGGACGTTAACCCTAGTGTAGGTAATTGCACCTGGGCGGTATTAGATTCGTTTAGAATATAATTATAGGTAGGAAATTCGGGAAAAATAGGCATTTTTGTTCGTTTTAAATATAGCAATAGGTAGGGAAATCGGGTAAAAAAACTGTAAGTAAAAAAACGAGTAACTGGAGTACCAGTGAAAATTTACTTTATTTCAATCTTTTATTATTTTTGTCACTATGTTGTCTTTTATATTTAAATGTTTTGTGAATGTTTTGTTTAATTAGTCATTATTTTCAGTTGATTCATCGTGGTGAGCAAAAATACTTTTTTTAAAATTGTATTAATCAATTTTTTTCAGGATTGTGTAATTTATTATATTATTAATTTATTAATATATATTATGTATTTATATATGTACTATATTTATCATTTATGCAAATTTTATTATTGTTACAAGACATGAAATTATATAATATCCCTACTCAAATTAGTTAACATTTTTATTAATTTGATTAATTTTTTGTGACACTTTTAGTACAAATTGTTATTCAAATTAAACAAAATGTTAACTATTTAAGTATTTAGACTGTATTTAGAAAATACTTAGAATTTTAAATTGAATTTAAACTAGAAATTTTTTATTGCAAATTTTTCGGGAAATTTTATTATTCAGCATTGTGATCGTTTAAATCGCAGCTGTTTTTTTTTCAGTGAATGTTATTAAAATTTTGAGTAAGTACAATTTTCTAAAAATAATTTTTTTTAAAAATATATCGATTACTGTTATTCGATTAATCGATTATTATTATTCGATTAATCGAAAGCTGGATTCGATTTCGATTTTACTAGTTCGATTCTTTCGAGTTATTCTCGTAAAAAAATTTATGTCAGAAAACGTTATAACATACACATAAAATTAATAATAATTTAATGTTTTTCACATTATTGAGCTGTGACATTAGTTTCAATTTATAGTAAAAATATTCCATTTATAGAAAATAAGTGTTTTCTAAACGTAAGTTTCAATTCTGTTAAAATTCTGATCTTTTTCGTCTCACCTAACCTTATCGTTCATATTTGTTTACTTTCATTACTTTCACTATTTTTATCATTTAATTACTTGAAATGTAACATTATTTTTTAAAAATCAATATTTATTTTTATATTCTTACATTATTGAGCTAATTAAAATAAAATATTTATATTTATCCATACATAACCTAAAATATTTATTCTTTTTTTAGGCGCATTGTTAAGAGATTTAAACAATATATCAAGTTTATATATATTTTATATAAAATAAAATGGAAACTAGTGATGAAATTGGATTTAAAGAAATAAATGTAAATAATAAGGAAAGAGTAAAAAGTAATGCAAATTCGGATATTGAACGAAAAATTATTTATGAAAGGCCAAAAGGTCAAAAACAAGAGGAGCAAATTGAAGAATTTGACACTGACGAAGAGGAGGAAGAAGAAGATGATGATAAAAAGTCCTCTAATCAAATACCAGGTCCAGATGATTATTCAAAGCATTTAACTTATGAAGGTGATACTTGCATTTATACGGAACCGGAGACTGGAAAAAAACTCGTCTGGGATACAAAGCAAAATGCTTGGCGTAAGTTTTAATATTTTAATTATTAAAAAATTTACAACTAAATTTAAACAATTGGAATAATTCCTAATTAATTGCTATAAATCTACAAATATAATTTTTGCAGTTATTTAATTTTATTGTAATTTTATCAGCTATGTTTAATCAGTGTATTAAAAAAAAATAAATTCTAGGAGAACGTGAGGCCGCTTCAAAGGAAAATGAACCAATGGACGATGCAATGAAAAATTATGAATATGATGGAAAAAATTATGTTTACACAGATAAAAATACAAATGTAACGTATAAATTTGATCAAGAGAAAAATGAATGGATTGTGAAAGATGAAAATGATAAAAGTGAGGAAAATAAATCTGAACAAGAGGATAATGTCCCACCAAATCCTACGACATCACAAAATCCAATTTATGGATTTGAAAATGATACACATACATATACGGATCCAAATGATGGCAGTGTTTATATGTGGGATCGAGAGAAAAACGCTTGGTTTCCAAAAGTATGTAATTTAATATTCCCTGTAAATATTTTAATCCTATTTTATCAATTACATATATTAATTAAAATTTTAAAAAGAAGAAAAGCAAATAAAATAAAGTTTAGTATAAAGTGTAATTGAATTTAAAAATGAGAATTCATTAACAAAAATATATTTGAAATATTTTATTTTTATTTAAAAAATGAATTTATTTTTTTTTTTAGGTCGATGACGATTTTATGGCAAGGTATCAGATGAGTTATGGCTTTAATACGCCAAATGTTGAAGAAGCAAATAATGATAAACCTGCAGTTTCTATTGTTGCTCAGTCAAAAGCTGATAAGGAACAAAAACGACTTGATGCCAAGCGAAAAACTCATGAACCACCTACTTGGTTTGAAGTTGATGAACAACATAATACATCGATTTATGTACACGGTTTACCATTGGATGTTACTTTGGAAGAGATGACAGAATTATTTACCAAATGCGGTCTTCTTGCTCGTGATGAAAAGGGAAAGGACAAAATCAAACTCTACAGGGATTCGTACAATGAAATAAAAGGCGACGCACTCTGCACTTATATTAAGGTAGAAAATTACAATTAAAAATTTACATATTTATCCCCCGCCCCTTATCAATTCTTCTCGTCAAAGGGTTAATTAAAAAAAAATCATCCATGAATAGAATTAAAAAATATTGTCCTCTTTTGAATAATTGGGAATTTTATTTAAAAAGTTTTCGAAAAAAATGGTTTTGTAATGAAATCAATGATATTTACAAAGGTATACATGAAATGATTTATTTTCTTTCTAACACAATCTATTTTTTTTTCACTTAAATTTGACGTGTTGAACATATTTACAAGTCAAAAAAAAACGGAAATTTCGTTAATCCATCTAAATTTAAACTTATCGCTATCTTTATAGATATAGTGGCAAAAAATGAAAACAAATTAAAGTAAATCAGTAATTTGACAAAAAAAAAACTGGAAAATATTTTTTAAAAAAATAATTTTCTTGTGATAATTTCGTTAAAATGCAGATAACAAATTCTATTGGCTCAAGAGACAGTTAAACACTATTTTTTTTTATTTTAAATATAGTTTTTTTTCTAGTTAGTTTTAATTTTCAAGCATATGATTTAATCATTGCTTTATTTCATCGACTAGTAGTCACTCTTTAGGGCAAGGTGATTTACTCAAATTTTTTTTTATTGCTAATACCAGAAAAAGGTGGAATTTGAAATTGAACACATCAATAAATAGTAACATTACTTTCTCTTAAATCTATGTAATAGCCTTCATTAGTTATCGTACGGGTAACTAAATTTTCGCAAAGGTCGTTTTCGATAAAATGCATTCTTGAACGTATTTTTTTTTTATACAGTTCGATTTTTCTCACTGTATTTCGTTTCTTTTTTTTTTTTAAATAAATCTTACGTTTAACGACTGGCTCCAATGAAATGGATGGTAAAATAAATACAAAAAACAATTTAGATATTATTCTTTTGTTTTCAAGTTTTTAGTAGAATTTGCTCATGAAAATCAGTTAGAGCATTGCTAATGTCCGCTAAATTTTGTTGACGTTGAATATTTGCTGGACTGTCGCCTAAAAATGCTCCGTATTCTTTACCCTGAGATGAAATTTGCGAAACTCGAGGGATCATTGATCCTTGATAGGTTCTGTCAATAGGATGATGACGCATTCTATCACTTGGCATTGCACCTGGTGCCATTCTTATTCTGTGAAATTTAAAATTAGAATTAGAATTTTGAAAATTCATTTAAATAAAATTTCATTCCTTTTTTTCGGGAAATTTTTCTCTATTTTTTGCTTCCTCGTGGAGGAAGCTATGTAGTCCTTTCGTTTATAAACTTTTTAAAAATGGTGAAAACAAATTTTCCTCTATATAGAAACATGTTATATGAGATCCTGATCAATTGTCCGGATGTATGTATGTGTGTGTGTATGTGTGTGTGTGTGTGTGTGTGTATGTGTGTGTGGATCGTTTTTGTGAACACGATAACTTTAACAGGTTTTAATGGATTTGGATAAAATTTGGTAGGCTTATTTAACACATTAATCTCTCAAAAATGACGAGAGGATTTTTAAAAATACCCCAAAAAAAAAATTTTATCGTCTTTTATCCAAAAAATTTTTTTTAATTGAAAAAACTTTTAAATCGAAAAATTTAAGGTAATATATAATATAATCGTCTTCTTTATGTCAAGATGAATCGATTGATATATATAAAGTATAGATTTGATTGAAATTTAAAGAATTAATGAAAGTTAAAAAATAAAAATTCTCATTTTAGCTAAAAAATGATGTGTTTATTTAAATTCATGTTTATATATGAAATAATTTTATTCCCTGCATTGAAACGAATTGGTTGGTATATATAAAGTATAGATTTGATTTAAAATTTTTGAGAATTAATAAAAATTGAAAAATCGAAAATTCATATTTTAGCTAAAAAATTTTGTGTTTTTTTAAAATTCAAGTTGATGAATAAAATAATTGTATTCCTTGCATTAAAATGAATCGATTCGTATATATAAAGTTTATGTTACACTCAAAATTAATTAAAATTTTCTTTATTTTTCAAAAAATTTAATTAATTTAAAACATTTTTAACTTGAAATTTTTTAAATCAATCAATTGAATTGGACAAATTCATTGCTTCCTTCACGAGGAAGCGAATTTTTTGCTTCACAGAATGAGGAAGCATAATGTTTATGAAATAAACATAAAGGACCCCCTCCTTGTTTTCTTCTATTTTGAATAAATGTGAGAAAAATTTACAAGATCTATAGAATTTTAAATGAGAGAAAATGTAATTTTACCTCGACGGTGGCCTTGATCCAAGTTTAACTCCGTGATTCCATTCCTGGTTTGGGTTTTGTTGTCTCCACTCTTTCTTCTCGTGAGCAATTCTGCCTTTATTTTGCCGATGTTTTTTGTGTTTATTTTCTTTTAAGATATTCTTCTTTCCCTTCTTTCTACCCCTTAGACGTTGATTTTCGGGGGCAAATGGATCGACTGTTTTCTTACGACGCCTGCCTGTGTTAAAGTGTAGAAAAAATTTTATTTAATTACTTTTATTCCGTTATTTTAATTTATTAAACATTGTTATTATATACCTAATTAAATTAAATTAAAAATAATGTATTTCTAAACGAAGAACTGAATGCAAATTGAATTTTCTCTTGTGAGAGTTAAAAGCATCATTAACCAATTATCGTTGCATCGAATTTAATATATTTAATAGCCTCCTTAACATTTCTGTCTACACTTTAAAATCTGTAGGTGGTAAGAAAGTATGGGCCCTTATATGTAAATTTTAAAAAGACAAACACAAATGTCTTACGGGAAAAAACCATTATGAGTCATGTTCATTTTGTATCCGAAAAAAAAATATTAAACGAAAACTTTAAAATTGTTTAACATTTTTTTTCTTTTGTTTGTTTTAATTTTAATATTCAAATTTTCTATTTTACTAAAAATTTAATAAATTAAATTAAATAATATTTTAATATTATACTTTCTTAAAAATAATTTTAATTCTCAAAATTTTTAATCTTAATTGAAAAAAAAAAAATGCAAAATGGAAATCTATTTTTAGCTTACCTATTCCACCTGCAGGTACTTCGCAAACATAAAATTTACTTTCGAAACAACTCTTTGCTTTCCACTTATATTTTGCTGAGGGATCCATTACAATACAACTGTAAGGCAGTGGGTTTTGGGGTTGTCTTTCAAAACTTTGAAAATCAATTTGCTTGCCCGAAGTTCCCCAAGTCCAAATTTTTAATTTATAATTATATATTCCACCTATCCATCTATCGAGTTGCACTGAAATTTAAAGAAAGAAAAAATTTTAAAAATCAAATACAAATAAAATATAAAAGAAATTATTATTATTATTATTATTGATAAAAATGATTTATTTCGAAAAATTAAATTTTATCTAACCGGGAAATGTTAAATTACTTACTAAATTGTTCACCCATTAGATGCTTTCGCAACATTTTATCCTTTCCATATCTATCGAGAATTGAGAGAGTGGCATTTCTATCTTTACAATGATAATGTGCTTCATTCCAGGGTGATTTGCCTGCACTTAAATAATAACAAAATCGTTTTAATCGAAAAAATCCAACAGGACAGGCGAATCTTCGAATTCCTTGTTCGTCGTGTTCTTTGTCGTATTCTTCCGAAATTCTCGGTCCAGGTATTGAATTATTGATAGTTTCTTGCTCCTGTAGTCCCAAGGTAATACCTAGGAAAAAAAAATAAATTCGTAAAATCCAATTTCTATTTAGAAATAATTTTTTAAAAATTTAGTCTTATCTCTTAAGTTAGTTTAGCTTTAAAATTCCTTTTTTTTTTTTTTTTTAATTTTCTGATTGGTAAAATTATTTTCAAAGAGAAAGTCGTCTCATGCAAATGGGAAAATTGCGGATAAATTTAGATCAAGATTTATTTTTATCCTCGTCCTTGATTGGAATTTAGCTTTATGTAAGAAAACCCCGCGTCACTCGAGAAATAAACAGAATCGCCTACATTACAGCATAGTGTAATTTATCGTGTATTGTTATATTCGAGACGAGCAACCTCGTCTGAAACAAAGGCGCAGCTGATAAATTGTTGATTCTCCTACGCCAGTTGATGATTGATGATAGCATTTTCTTTTGTCAAAAAAAAAAAAGACAAAACCATTTTGTATATAGCTTAAAAGCACGAAGTCAATTATTTCATGACTTTTTTTCCCAGTAAAAAAAAGTGTAGAATTTCCGTTCTAGTTTTTGAATACAAAGTTGTAAAATAGAAAAAAGTTTTTTTTTTCTTATCTTTGTTTCTTTTCTGTTTTTTGTTCTTTAAAAATCCATTAGAATAATAGAAATAAAAAAAAATATTGCGAATTTTTTAAGGTTGGATTTCTATTTAACTGATTTTTATGTATAAATTTAGTATTAAACAGAATTTTTATTAAAAATTCTCATTTAGCAGAATTCTAATTTAAGAGAATTTTTCCATTTAGCCGAATTTGTAAATTAAGTAATGAAAATTCAGCTAAATAAAAGCTCCGTGAAATAAAATTTAGTTACACAAATAATTCGGCTTAATAAAAATTCTTTTGAATAAAAGTTCTGCTAAATAAAATTTGGTTATATAAAAAATTCGGCTTAATAAAAAATTCCTTTGAATAAAAGTTCCGTTAAATAAAATTTATTTACATGAAAAATTCGGCTTAATAGAAATTCTTTTGAATAAAAGTTCTGCTAAATAAAATTTGGTTATATAAAAAATTCGGCTTAATAAAAAATTCCTTTGAATAAAAGTTTCGTTAAATAAAATTTATTTACATGGAAAATTCGGCTTAATAAAAATTCTTTTGAATAAAAGTTCTGCTAAATAAAATTTGGTTATATAACAAATTCGGCTTAATAAAAAATTCCTTTGAATAATAGTTCCGTTAAATAAAATTTGTTTACATGAAAAATTCGGCTTAAGAAAAATCTTTTTTAATAAAAGTTATGTTAAATAGAAAATAATTTTTGCAAATTAATTTTTTTTTTCTTTATTTGTGATTGATTTGAATGACGTGGGAAGTGATTCTGAATTAATTGGAAAAAAATTAATAATCTAAATTGTAGAATATAATTGAAATTTGTTCTGGAATTTCTTGGCTTTATCGTGATCTATAAAAATCAAAGCGTCCTGGTTCCATATAGCGATCGTCTATGTCGATGAACTTTACTTCTATACTTGACACTCGAGTTCATATACGAAAGAGATTATTGCTTAAGATACGTGGCCATACAGTTGGCGCCTAAGAGACTAAACAGTGCGGATTCTCACCTAGTCTTTCGTGGTCAGAGAATGTTTACCATTACACTCTTCTCTCTATAATATCTACTACGTGTTAGAATATTAAATCTCGCATGTGAAAAATAAATAAGATGCTGTTGAAAATAAAAATTAGTTTTCTAAGCCACATTTGTTCTTCATCATAAATATTATAGATTTCTTCTCATCATTTGTTATAGATTTCTAGGTCATGGATGTCATTTCAATTTTTATTTCTCTCATTTGGAATTGCAAATTTTGCTTAGAGTTTATGGTTTCTCGGGGGCGCATAAATTTTCTTATTTAGCACAAATTTCTCGTGTTTTAAAAATCTATATTTGCGAATTTTGATTATTTGAATGAAATAAATTTTTTAGTTAAGCTAATTCATTCTTTTCCATTATAGATCGATGGTTATTAGTTTTTAGTTAATGGTAAAAAAAATTTACGTAAAATTAACTATTTTTAGCCTTCCATTTTTCGTTATATATTTCAATTAGACGTAACCTGCTTACAAAAATGTTAACCGGATTTCTTTTCAATTCAAAGTAAATTATTCTGTCCATCAACGTTTGAATGCCCTATTGTAAAAAAATAACCGTTGGCAGGGAAAAATCAAGGTTTTAAAATTTTCTTTCCGTCTATTCAAACCAAGAGAGATAGTCGATCCAATAGCCTTTTATAATTGAGGGCGTCAACCGCAGGCATTCGCTTTTCTAGTCTTATAAGCGAAAAACTCAATATTTTGCTTGAAATTTTTTTTTTCATACACTCGTATTTTGAATTAAAACTTTTGTATTTCAAAATTATTAGAGATAAAAATTCCGATAAATGTCAAAACATTCTTCTTTTTTAATATAACTGGTTATATATATACAATATAAGTAATGATACTTATTTAAAATTCAATTGGGTCAGTTATAAATAATTATTTATTAATATATACCCATTATGGTAATATTCGATTAAATAATATTTATTGTGGTTTAAAACGAACAGGCGGTCTATATTGACGTTTCTTCTTTTTTTTTCTCACTGAGAGTAAATGTAATCTTGTTGGTCTGTTTTGTATACATATATATATATGAAGTAAAAGAGATTAAACCAAGAGATAAAGTTGATCAGTTGTTGCAGTATGAATTTTTCATGATCACACTTATCAGAACGTGTTCATTAGTAACTATGTCTAACTCAGAATTAATTCTTAGCATTCTTTTGAAGAAATGTCCACACCTGTGGAAACAAGTCAATACACTCGACGAGAATGATTATTTTTAAAAAAAAGTAAAGAATAATCACTTTGGAAAAAAAATACTTTCGCTTAAATAAAAATTGTCGATTTCTAAAAGATTTTTCTAAATCATTCTAAATAGAAAGAATGTCAATTTACATGAAACAGCAAAAGGTTTCACTGTAATAGCAACAATTTTAATTGTTTCAGTTAAATTTTTCATACTACACTGAAAAACAATTTATTTGATTAAAATAATCGATCTATTATCTAGTAAATATTTATTTGTATTAATTAATTATTATTTGAGATGATATTTGTTTCAAATACAAAAATAATTGGTTAGTTTATTTAATTGAAAGAAAAATTATTTAGAATAAAATTATTTGGTTCAAGTAAATATTTATTTGATAATAGTCAAGTAACCGATTATTTGAATCAAATAAATTTTTTTCAATGTATTTTAGTGAAATCTTTCGCTTTTCAAGATGATTTTTTTTCCAAAGTGAATTGAATATAAGATTGAAAAAAATAGTACCAGAATTCATTAGTAATAATAGTAATTGAAAATTGAAAATAGAACTTTGTAATTTTAGATTGAATTTCATAGGTGAAATAATATTGAAATTAATTTTCAATATTATTGTTTCATTCACATTTTATGATTATTTTAAGCGAAAGTTTATGTTATAGTCCATATATGAGTTCTGAATTTATTATTTTCTTACGCATGCGGAAGCTGCGAGCAGTCAAAGGCATCTTTCTCTCTTCAAATCAAATGTATATATGTACGAGACGTGAATCAATTAAGAAACGAGAGGCGACTGAATCTCGAATAATTTAAGATAGAGGTTAAAATCAGAAACGAAAGTTGGGATAGGTCGTGGTACTTTGGTTCTCTCTAAAAATAGATATACTTCCGCTTATATATATATATATATATATATACGCTGACTCAGCATCCTATAATAATCAAGAATCGCACCTTCATTATCATTCATAATTGCTTATATATATATTCTAATTTCTCACTTTGTCACTACTACTACATATAACGTGGGATGATAATTTTGTAATATTTACCCAGGACTGAGTTTGAATTATAGATAATTTCATCTAACTTCTATAGCAGACTGAAAAAAAAAATTATTTGATTCTAATAATCGTTTGCTTGATTATTATCAAATAAATATTTTCTTGAACAAAATAATTTTTATTTGCATTAAATAATGTTTATTTGAATTAAATAAGTTTTATTTGAATTTTTGTATTTGAATTAAATAAGTTTTATTTGAATTTTTGTATTTGAAATAAATACCATATAATTGACTCAAATAATAATTATTTAATTTGGATTTTTTATTTAATACTAATAAATGTTTATTTGAATCAAATAATTATTTAGTACAAATGAATACTTATTTGAATTAAATAATTATTTAGTACAAATAGATATTTATTTAAATCAAATAATTATTTAACAAAAATAAATATTTATTTAATAATAATAGTCAAGTAACCGACTATTTGAATTAAATAAATTTTTTTTCAGTGGAGCTATTTTTAGAGCTCATTGAGAAACATTTATTGAAACTTGAAGAAATTGGTTAAATCAAATTTAATTAATGTAAATTTAATTATAGATTTTACATAATTGATTATGAATTGTGATTATTTGAAATTGTTTCTGATGCCACGTGTATGGAATGAAAAAGAATGTCTAGGGGGGAGTTTCTTCTTGTATGATTTACTGTAATTGAAAGTCAGTAGTTCCTTCTCTAAATATGTTGGTAGATAATAATGAAATGGCTGAAGGATACTAGGGAGGCAGTAGACTTTAAAGAAGAAGAAGAAGAAGAAATGAAAGTCGTGTTTTCTTACGTTGCACGTGTATAGTATAATTATGAGTATAATTCACATAGATTTTAAAAATGCTCTCCAAATAATGTGACTATTCTTTTTTTTTTTTTTTGCTCTATAGTTTTTTTTTTAAAACATCAGAAGCAGTTTTTGAGTATATTATTGAGTATATTTTTGAGCATATTATTGAAGTCTATTAATAAAGTTAGAAATATAAGTCTAGGAATTTTTATTGCATAAACTATTAAAGTTCAAATACATTTGGCATGTGTAGAAGCGTATTGCTATTGATGAATACCAGAGACTATTAACCTTCGTCGCAAAGTCGCGTTAGTCAATTGGTGTATTTGATCTATATCTCCTTCTTCTCGCACGATAATTATCATCGTTTTTGACTTTTACGAGTTCATATATTTACTTTCTTTGGCGGTTTTTGTTTTTTTAATTCTTCTTCGCGAAAGAAGGAAAACAATGCACAGAAATATAGTGCACATTTCCTTATCATTTGATTATTTTAAATTTTATTGTTAAATTTAGAATAGATTTTTATATTAAATATAGATTAATTGTGTGGTTTATTTTTTTTTTATGAATTTAGTAGTTCAAACCTCATTTTGAAATTTTACGATAACCACTAAAAGTCGTCTGTGTCTTATTCTTGTTTTACGATGATGATTTAAGAACATTCTCTGAATGTATTTTTCTCGAAAAAAATCGTTTCTCTTCAAATTTTGAGGTTCCTTGTTTTCTAAAAATTTCAAAATTCTTTCCAGTGCTAAAAATGTTATTCAGTTTCAAATTTCAATTTTTAAATGTATGGAACTATATAGGATTATATATAAAAGTTTTTTTTCACCCACTCTTTGGTCGCTTTTATTTGTATGTATATATATATGCAATACAGTACAAGGTTATATTTTATCTGCTTTTTATTATGAAGAACACCTTAGCTTAAGGCATAAAGCTTATATGTGCACTTCATGTGCATTCAATTCAATGACATCTCAAAGATTAAAAAGATGAAATAAAAATGTGAAAATCGTATTTTGACTCTAGGCGCCGGAAATTATATTTTGTATTATATTAAAAAAGAAAAAAAAACAGATTATTTTCGAAAATATATGGGGAAAGTGTTTAATTTTTTTTTTCATTCAACTGAAATGAAGAAAACTTTTTTTTTTTTTTTTTTTTGCATAATTTACACAATTCGATAAATGAATAACATTTAAATGACAAAAATTTATCGCAAGCTCATGTAAAAATGCAGTCATGTTGAAATGTATTTGCAGTGACCCGATAGGTAGAATACTTGTCGGCTGTCGTGTTTGTTGAAAATAGATTACTTGGGAGTTTCAATGCTCTAGAAGACTCGTCCTGATTGAACTTTTCTTTTTTTTTAAACATTAACGAAAGAAGACGTTAGAGCGAAAAATTTAAATAAATAACGAAAATAATTTTAAAAAAGAATTATAGAAAAAACGAATTTTAAATTATGAATTACGTTGCCAAAAATAAATAAATATTAAATAATATTAATAATAATAATAATAGTAATAACAATAATAAAAATAATTATGTAAAAGATAATTTTCGAGAAAAATCTTAAGAGGTGGAAATATTTTAATCGATGATTTGAATTCAATATTTGTTTTAATCGCATCTTGTTTCAAATATCATTAGTTTTTATGTGTTTTTTATTTGCAAATTAAATTTTTTTTTATAAATGTCACGAATTTTTATATCAAATATTCTTTTAATTAAATGTCTAGTTTTTGGATAGTTTTTTTTTCTATTATGAATTGATGTTTAAAATGAATTGCATAAATTTTTATAATATTCCGTGTATTATGTAATTTTGAAATTTGCATAGATCATTGACTCATTAATTTAAAATCTATCATTTTGTTTTTTAATTACAGGAGTATAGACGATTTTTTATTTAATTCCAATTTTATTCTCAAATTTCAAGTTTGCAAATATCTAGTTTTTATGATTTTATATTAGTCGCAATAAAAGTTGATTAGATTTTAGATGTTTTTTTTTTATTTAGAACATTTGAAAAAAAATTTTTGTTTGAAATATAATTTTTAATTTTTGTTATTTCTAATTGGCAAAGCTTGTCGAAAATTAAGGGTCTGTTTTTTTTGAAAATAAAAATCGCGATGATATAGATAGGAACTTTTATAGGCCTTGTGCGACTTTTTTTCTCATTTTTAAAGTCCCTTATAGAATACGACCATCGTGTGAACGTTCTCTAGACATCTTGGGGACTTTTATCACCTCTCAGATGTCTGTCTACAAGTTTATAAAGAAATTTCGCGTATTCTTGTGTGGCAAGTCCTATTGAGTCTGTTTTTTTGTCGTTATTTTTATTACTCCAAAATTTAATAAAAAAAAAAATGTAAATATATTATTTTTAACAAAAAATTTTATTTTGCTATTAAAATACCACAAACTTAACATTTGAATTTTATACAAAATTTACTATAGTTTATTTTATTTGAAATATCAATTTTGGTTGAATTTATTTATTAAAAATTAGAAAATATTAAAAAAAGAAATATTCTTAAAATCAATGTCGTTACTAATCGGTTAAAATAAAAAAAAAATTGTGTGTAAATACAATTAGTTAATTGGTGAATAACATTTCTATTGATAGAAATCTTTGCGATATAGAGAAAATTGATATGATTCATCTATAATATTTTTATATTATTAATAAATATGTCGTATAAAATGACGAAGGTATGCGAAATACCTAAGACGTTTTATCTTCTCTATCGTAATCATTTTTATAGAAAGGAATAACATTTGAATTTTTTTTTTTTAATTTAAAAAAAGAAGGTTTAGTGAGATGTTAAAATAGTATTTTGGTGACATCGCTATTCTCAGAATCATTAAAAATTATCTCGAATCAGATTGCAAGTAATGATAAGGAAAGATAGTGTAACACAGTAGTAATTTCTTATTCAGAATCTTCAATCAGCAAAGAATAGAATTTCTCTTCAGTATAAACTAGATGATTTTCATCTAGTTAGTCAGTATATCAATATCAGATTTGATGACACTTGATATTTAAAAATTCTTAAATTAAATAGATAAATCTTTTAAATCCGCTATTTCAGTTTCTTGAACTATTCATTCTACTAAAAAAAAATTCTTTAGCACTGTACAAATATTAATGTCAATCGTATTTTTAGTTTTAAAAATTCTAGAAATAGTTTTTTCTCTAGATAATAATAAATTAAAATTTTCAAAAATAATATCAAATATTTATCAATTTTTTGTAAATTAATTTAAAAAGAAAATTATAGGAATTAATTATGAAACTAGGTCGTTTCTTTTAGGATTTCATTTAAAAAAATTTCCACCTCTTTTTTAGATGTAATTTTTTTTTTTTAAAAAGATTAATTTTTCGTTTTAACTCTTTTTATTGTGTCAAAAAAACAAATATTTATATAGAAATATTTTGGCTGAATGGATTGAAAAGTTATTTTAATTCTTTATAGTTTGTTCGTTATCAAAAGTAAACCTGAATACAAAACATGATGGCGTTGCACCAATTTAATTACTTTAGCCAGAAATGTTTATCTTTTATTTTATAGTGTTTGCACTTTCTTTGATGTTGCCATGAAGCCGAGACTTATGGATAATAATTCGCGAATCAAAAATGCTTCGGTTTTTGAGGTAAAAAAAAAAATACAATCAGGGGACATGTGAAAAATTAGAATTCTAAGTTTGACGGGTTTTATTTATTTTTGAACATGTGCACGTGTCAATCATATTGTGGCATCATTGTTTAAAATCTTAAGTAAATTTCTCTTATCTGATGATAAAATTAATGAAAATCAGTTATCTTTTGTTTAATTTTAGTTTTCTTATTGAAATATTAGTTTTGTTTAATTTTTTTCTGTCGCTTATTTTTTTAAAAATATTTTTTAATTCGTAGGTATATTTTAGAAATAGTTAAATTTAAATCTCACATTGAATAATAATTATAAAATATCTTTTAAAATAAAAAAAAAAATTAAACAATACTAATAAATAATAAATAGAAATAGTAGAAATAATAAATAAATTAATAAAAAAAAAAAATAAAATTTTTTTAATAATTTTTTTTTTAATAGAAGCACGTGGTGATTAATTTATATTACCTGCGAGGCACACGAGTATGATCCAAATTTTCATTTTGTTTAATTTTTTTTTTTTTTTTTTTTAATGGCGAACTTTAAACTTTATCACACTAATACTGTTCGAAATGGAATTATTAAAAGCACAGGAAAAAAAGTCCACATTATTTATGTGCCTTTGACACTTTTCAAATGAATGAAAAAATTGTTAAAAAAATTAATTTTTCAAAAAATTTTATAAATGCCACAATGTTTTGCTTAGAGAAATATTTTTTTTTTTTTGATAATTTATGATGAAAAAAAATATATTATCGATTTATTTCGTTGATAATCATTGATTGGAGCTTCCGCTAAAAATGAGTGTTCACTGTTGAAAAGTCCGCGAGAGACTGATCCAAACTCGCACTCTTTACACGCCATGAGCTTTCCATCCTAACCGGTACCTTCCCCTATATATTCTTGTATACTACATTTTAGACCAATCGAAAATCATTTAATATAAATTTCTTGATAATTAAAAAAAATTCTTTTTAAAATAAAAATTATTTCTTTTTTAGAGGAAAATTTTTTAAGTTTATTTTAATTAGATATTTTTGTATACAAAAAATTTAAGATTCTTGCGAGGTAATTATTAATGATTAAAAACCAGTTTATTCATGATTATTTGGAAGAAAAAAACTGCTTATTTTAGTGAAAGTCATTTAATATAGATTTATAATTTGCTGATGACACGGTTTTAATTTTTATTAGTCAATTCTCGAACTTGTCTTGTTTTCATTTTTTATTCTCACGGTCGTATTATTGCATAAAAGTATATTTTTATGTTTAATAAACAATTATAATTGTATTTATGTAATATTATATTTTGTGAAATCTTTGTTGTGAAAAAAAAAATTAGAAAACTTTATACAGGGTGATTTTTAAATTGTTAGAAATTTTTTTTTTTGTAAAAAAATGTAAGGCTTCAATCTGTAATGGTCTGTTTTATGAAAATGAATTATAAAACACTTTTTCACTGTCGTGATAAAATTTATTTTATTTTCGTTTACAAAAATTTACCAGAGCTTTCGAAACGTGATTCACAATTCTATCGGCGTCACTTATACATTATCATTCTTGGAGTATTCGAAACTTTTTGATTCCGGTTTTATCCCACCTGGAACAATTTAGTTTAAATTGCATCATTTCTTTTTGCAATTAATATAATTGCAAACTGAAAGTTGACCACAGTTGAAAACATGAGGTCCGTTAATTAGAATAATCATGTGTCGTTTAAAAAGTGACATTTAAAAAAGAAATTATTATTAATTAAAATCATTATTTGTAATATTTTAATCTCAATCGATTTTAATTTCAATTCTTCTAGTATATATATTATTTCAAAGAAATTGAATTAGTCTGACATGATGGTTTATGTTTTCAATGACAAATCGAAAAATGATATGCGAAAACTTTTGCCGCTATATAATAATTTGCTGTTCGCAGTTTTCGCACAAAATTCCAAAGTTAGGGAAGGCTATTTTAATTGCATGCGGTATTTCATTCATGTCTTCAGCAGAACTTCCCTCTTCTATCTTGTTTCTTGCTTTAATTTTCGAAACAAGCTATAACGAAATTGCGAACCACGTTTTATTCATAGGCTTCTTCTTCTTCTTCTTCTTCTTCGTTTGTTTCGATTCAAGACGCTCTCTTGAGGAGAAATTTCCAAATTAAAAATTGAAAAGAGACTTGAGTTATATAGTAGTGCCACTTCAATTAAAACTTGATATAAGTCTCAGCAAATATTTATATTGAAATGAATTATTCTCTCTTCGAACTTTTCTTTGTCGATAATTTAGATTTTAATGGAAACGTTTTTGTACAAAAATAGAAAATAATAATAAAAAAAAAAATTGGTTAGGTCAAAGGTTAGTCTGCAAATTTATTTACACTCAGAAAAAAATTTGTTTAAAACAACCAAATTTTGATTGAATCAACCATTGTTATAAAGTTATCCAAACTTTTGGTTTGAATCAATCAAAAGTTTATTTGGTTCAATAAAATTCTTTCTTCATTCGAAATTTTTTTTTTTTTTTTTTAAATAAATCAAACGTTTATTTAGATCAAATAAATATTTATTTGAATCAAAAAAACTTTTCTTTAAGTGTAGGTTGGAAATATATTTTTATGATCTTAATTTTTAGGTTTCTGAAGAGTTTGAAGCTCAGAATTTTTTTTTATGTTGGTATTTATTAATAAATTACATAATCTTGGATGAAATAATAACAATATATATGTTTTTTTTTCTTAAATTGCAAGGCTATAGCTGTCACTTTGAAATCTGAAACTAGCCTCCTTTTATATTATTCTGTAATCTCGCGCTAAACCGGAAGTTCTGAATAAATACAGAATAATTTGTTGTGAGAAATTAAACAAACATTATTAGGTCACACTTAATCATCATGAATTATATTTCTGGCGCCTTATATAATTTCCTTTTTAAATTAGTATAATGAAGGTTATTTATTTTTATTTAATTTGTTAATAAAATAATTCTTTTTTTAATAAGTAATTTTTTCTGGTACTTTGTCGCAGTGAATGGAAAAGACATTTAATAATAGAGTAATTAGATTTTTATTTATAAAATTTCGTTGATTGAGAAGCCACCCTGTATATATATATATATATCGGGAGTCGGCACCAGCATCTGTATAGGATCACTCCGAATAATTTCGGACTCGAATAATGCAATTTGAGTCTTTTGAAGTTGCCGACAGACCAAAGGCGGTTCGATGGCAGTATTTTATATATCTTCGCTTTTTTTTCTTGGGATCATAATTGCAGATAACTACAGAACGAATCGCTACTAAATGTACCTTGCCAAATCGTTTGTGTGTTTTAAGGACACATGATGGGATTTAATTTTGATGAGTTTCGCACTTTATCACATTTATAATGAACCATAAAATCAAAAAATTGCGGAAATCAACAATTGTAATATTGTTTTAGAATTCTTTTTTAAATTTACGATAAAAAAATGTCCCATGTATTGACCACTGAAAATTCATGTGGAAATTCCTGTGGAAATATCTGTTGGAAATTTCGACAAATTTTTTGGGTTTAGTTTAGGTCTCGGTTTAGGTTCATAATTGACAATGAAAAATTGTGCCATAGTATTAAAAGAGCGCAGGTTTTTCTAGGGAAGATATGCTTTTAATTTATGATGTAATATAAACTTGATGCACCGAAAGATAATGTTTAATGCGACATTTGCACTCTGTGTTATCGTATACCTCGTGGCTGCCTGGACCTGTCATAAATACACTTTCAGTTACGGTTTCAGATAATTCCTCACGCTTATCGGTAAAAACACTTTCATAGGTGCCGTTGTGATATTTGTGAACTTATAATCTACTTGTTGGCGCTTTAATGCTTTACACACTCATATACATTAAAAAATTATCCATATAATATGAATTATTTAAAAAAACCTTTACAACACTACAAACAAATTTATTTGATTCAAATAATCGATTACTTGGTCTATTATCAAATAAATATTTATTTGCATCAAATAAATAAATGTCCCAAACATAGTTGGTATATGAATAAAATTCTTTTTTAATTCATCATAAAAAATTTTCAATCACAGTTGATAGTCTTGTATAATCACAATGTCACAATAAAGCACCTGAGACGTAAAGAATTTTTAATTTAACGCTTTTATTTTTTGCCTCGACACCGGTCTCAAAATCTTATTTCGCAATTTCCTCGCACTGCTCTTAAATTATTGTGCAGATAAGAAATATAATGAAAATAAACTCTTTCTATAGAATTGGCTATTCCTCTCAAAATGAGATTACTTTTTTACATACCGCTGTACGAAAATAAAAGTTAATTATTTGGACATTTATTGACAAATACAGGATCTTCATTTATTTTTATTATAGTGACATCCATTGTTTTGGTTATATGGTACATTCATATTTTGAAATTTGGATAGGAATTCCGTTCTTATGATTGAAAAACAAATCTGATTATTTTCAAAGTATCAAAATTTTTAATCGCTAATTGAAAGTAAATCGGAGAAGGAAGAAATTCTTTCTGAGGATACTGAAATTGTTCTGAGAGATGTGACAATAATTAAATCTAACAATTGGCACGTAGCCGAGTACTTTCGTCTCTGATGATATTTTCGAAGTAGAATCTTGCGTGTGTATATGTAGTTCTTGGTATCATCATTTTGTTTAATCCAAACATGTCTATTAACTCCTGTGAAAAATCATTTCTCGAAGCTCCTTATCTTTCAAGGTTCATTTGTGGAATGAAAAAAATATTTTTCTTTTAATGTAAAATATAATTTTATAAATATTTATGCAATTTTGAAATATTCTATATTTTTTCTTGTCAGTAATCTTCTATTGGTAATTAAAAGAAATCGATGTTATTGGTTTCGAGGCATCTTTTCTCCTATCATGTAAGTCATATTTGCATAGAGAGAAGTTGGTTTTTTTTTGTGTACACTGGAACGTTAAAGAAATTAACATAACTGAAAAAGATAAGTGTACAGTCCATTAGATAGTTTCCATAGTCGTTATTGCGTAATTTTGATATACAACTTTTCGCCTATATATCTTCCCATTTAAATCATATTTATATTCTTTTCCTTATGAGTTCGCGAGAAATTAATCTATCTATAGAAATTAGATGAATTTCCAAACAGAATCAATTTGCAAGAAAATCATTTCTGGGTCATTGACAAATATAACTTTATGAATTCGATATAATTTTCTTGATATTTCTTAATATATAAATGTTTCTTAACATACAGATGTTAACATATATTATTCTCGAAATACACTTGTCTTCGAGAATTTATATCAAAATTAGTATAATAATGAAAATTGACAATTGAACTTTGTCATTTAATAATAATGTCGACAAAATGGTATTTGTTTCAAATACAGAAATTGTTGCTTCAAATACAGTTTATTTAATTCAAAGAAAAAAATAAAATTATTTGGTGCAAGTAAATTATTTGATAACCGATTATTGTAATCAAATAAATTTTTTTTCGATATGCAATAATTGTTTTTTATTTTTTAAATTTTTCATGACGGGTAAATCTTTTTTAAATCATTCTTTTTTTTTCATCGATTCGTAATTTTGTTTTCATTTTTATTTCAATTAAACGGACATATATATGTATATAAAAAAAATAAGTTTAATTAATAAATTCATGCCGTTGCTCTCATGTCCAAATATGATTTATATTTTTGTATATGGAAAGTGGGTCACTTTCTGGTTTTAATTAATTTGTTCGTTTTCTCATGGGGCAAAATTTTTATTAATTGATTTTGACAGGCGCAAAGGTGATCGATATTTATGGATTATAATTTTGAATTGCAACAAAATTTC